CTTATCTTTTGCTTTTCAAGTTGGCTTTTAGAAGATGCTTGATTCTTACCATTTGATTCTTCATGTTTGCTGCAAATTGACAGACACCAGACCTAGATTGGTGGCTGGATCAGCTGATGGATACTCTGGACATATTGATGGAAAATTACGGGACGCAAGGATGAATCATCCTAAGGGTCTTACTGTTGATGACAGAGGGAACATCTATATAGCAGATACTGATAACATGGCAATTAGGAAGATAAGTGATGCAGGTAATTTACTAAACTATGACCCTGATCGTGATAGAGTAGCACTGCTTGGCTTGTTTGTGGTCATGTACTAGTCTTTTAAAATCTCCAAATTTCTGATCATCTGACTTTTGATTAAATAGGGTGATTTCTGAAATCTCCCTTTAGTATCTTAGTTTTAAGAGTAAAATGTGAGGACTAATGTCTGCAAAGTTAGAATGCTCTTTAAATTTATGCTATGAAATTTCCTTGACCAGGGATTACAACAATTGCCGGTGGTAAATGGAGCCGGGGAGGCGGGCATGTTGATGGACCAAGTGAAGATGCAAAATTCTCTAATGATTTTGATGTGGTCTATATGGGAAGCAGTTGTTCCCTGCTAGTCATAGACAGAGGAAATAAAGCAATTAGGGAGATTCAACTCCATTTTGAAGACTGTGCTTATCAGTATGGTAGTGGTTTTCCGCTAGGTTAGTAACTTTGCGTTGTTTTACTTTGTTCAAATCTATTGCAGTTGAACATGTTATGGAAGAAACGCAAATTTGCTACAGGAATAGCTGTGCTTTTAGCAGCTGGCTTCTTTGGTTACATGCTAGCGTTGCTGCAGCGAAGGCTTGGTACCATGGTATCTCCTGAAGAAGTGAGTATCAAGTTCTTTACTCTTATGATTAAAGTCACATTACTTTCTAAGCGTTGCAACGGGGACTTAAAGTATCAAGGATATAGAGGCCCTTCTTTTGCTTCTAGGCTTGCCAATTTCTATGTTGCTTGGTTACAATCACTGAACTGAACAAGTTTTAGAGGAAGAGTTGTAAGATATTCATACTGATATTGATAATTAGCAAGTTAAAAGTCTACAGAACAAGCTTTCTTATGACTCGAACTAAATGGTACCTCGTGTTACTTAACATCCCATACGTGATCTCATTTACTTTCTTTCACTTCTGTCTTCTTGAAGGATCAGAACACATCCATTTTCACCAATCAATATCAGAAGCCAGCTAAGTCATCATTTAGGCCTCCCCTAATTCCGTCTGAAGGCGATGAGGAGAAGCAAGACGAAAGCATGTTTGGATCTCTAGGGAAGCTAATTATGCGTACGGGAGCATCAGTTTCTGATGTTTTAGGAAATGTATTTCCTGTGCTGAAACGTACACCATTGAACCATCATCAATATCAACAGCAGCAGCAGTATCAGCAACACACATGGCCGGTACAGGACAGCTTTGTAATACCAAAAGAAGATGAGCCCCCATCCATTGAAACCAGAACACCCACCCCACGAAAGACTTATGCATTCATGTCCAAAGATTCTGAAAAAATGCAACAGCTGAAGCAAAGCCGTGCTTTTTATGGTGGATGGAGTGCTGATGTTCAACTACAGCAACAGCAAACTCAGAAGCAGCTACATCATCATCGATATCATTCATCTGGACCTCAAACATTCTACGAGCAAAGCTCAGAGAGCACGAAGGAAGTAGTTTTCGGAGCAGTTCAAGAACAAGGGCAGCGCAACACAGTGATAATAAAGCCTTTGGACCATGCAAATCCTGTTTATGATCGACAAAATGTTCGTTCTCGGTTCAACTCTGCTGGATATTCTCAAGGCTATTAATCAAGTTACATACAGAAACTTCAGGAGTTGCTAAAATTGCTTCTTGATGGCTTAGAAATGAGAAATATATCATGCACTAACAGCCATCAAAGTACAAATTTTGGAGAGAGGAAGCCCATTTTAGAATATAGCTTATAATGTTTATCTAGTATTCAATAGTGTTGTAGTGAATGCTGTGTAAGTGAGTTGAAAATTATTACTAGTACAAAAAAATAGTTCTATATATCTCATGATCTGATCAATTCCCTAGGAATTCCATTGCTTCTATTTGCTTTTTGAGTACCAATAATGTCAAGACAAGATCTATTTCCATTTCTTGTCCTTTGCACACCCCCTGAACTTTAATAGGGTCCAAGTAAAAGAAAAGACAAAATGGGGAGAGAAAAAAAACAACAAAGCCAGCCAAAAAGGAAGTTTTCTCCTTACAATTTGTTCTACCATAGGTAGCTAGAAAAAATGAAAGCACAAGTTGTATTACTTAAACAAAACCTGGTAGAACAATGTGGTATGGGCTGAGTATATAGGAAATATGCACTTGAAGCCATTAATGTTCTATATTGCAAGAATGTTTGTAGATCTTCCAAATAGTACGTTTTTAATTTATTTTTTTAATAATAAACTGTACTGCTGGTACAGTGTGAGAGAACCCACTCACATGGGCACGTGACCAACGGTAAACTACAGTTAGAATTAGAGAAAGACAAATGAACAAAGCATTCTTGTCAAATAGATACTATTATAATGCTCATAAAGTAGATATCATGGCAACAAAGACACTTCATTTTCTTAGAAACATTATAAAAAAAAAAATGAGTACCTTAACCTCTTCTGAAAACTTGATATCCAAATTAAACATTTTTAAAAAATTGTAAGCCTAATTATTTGGTCTTTTTTTCTCTATTTTAGTGGATTCCATTTTCCACACCCCACAAGGCCCAAGAATAAAAGAGATTACAACTTAATTTGAGAACTTGACATTGGACCACCCAAAACATTATCATTTGATTTAGTGCCATGGTTTATAGATCCCATACAACTTCCCACCCTGTCCCTTGCACCCCAACCTCCTCTAAAAGACAAGAATTTTTATTTTATTTTTAATAAACTTTGAGAATGACATGTTTTCTGTTAGACTTCCATGGTTTAGGATCTTTCTACAAGATCAAACTTTTCCATGCAAAGGAGTTACACTTTCAAGAGAGAAATTTGTAATGTAAAAACTACATCCATTGACCGTTATGTTAAAGTAATGTATGTGTTACGTGTGACATGATAATTAATCGCAATTAGAGATGACAACGGGACGGATTGAGGGCAGGACAAGCCAAATCATAAAGGGTAGAATACAAAATTGATCGATCTGCCGAAACTAATGCATTCCCCAACCAAAAAAAATATTAAAATATGTATATTACATGTATATAATGCACATATATCCAAAAGAAAAAAAATTTGTCGGCTATTATTTTTGGGAGTGGCTAAAAATTATACATATCCTCAATCATAAACAGGATAGGGCATGGGAGCTCTTATGCAGAATAGGTTGAAACAATGTTTTGAAAATCAAAATTAGAGCAGGACAAAAGGCAGATTAAACAAAAAGAATTACAGCAAGTTTTACTTTATACTCGTCAGGTGCTATAATATCAATGGATAAAAGAAAAGGATAGAAAAGTTTTCGCCAATAAGATCTTTTTTTTGGACCATATATGTATATATATATATATATATATATCACTCTTGTTGGCTTGTTGCCATATCAGGTTATTTAGTTGGACCGTCCATTGGTTCTATTATACAAGATTTCAACTGGTCCCACACAATTTAATTCCTACTTACATCCCCAGCTATCCTGCTCTACCTTGAAGAGAAGTCCATCAAGATTATCAGTAAGTCCGTAATATTCTACTTGTTTATCTTTGCTGTACGTGTAATCAAATGTCGTGAAAAGAAAAGGGTTGCGGTTAATTAATAACTAGCTCTTGCTAATTCATGAAAAATCCTCACAATATAGATAATGTTAGGATGTGCTCGTCTAAAAACGTGACGAAAAATATGTTAGGACGTGCTCATCTAAAACACATGTTACGTCAAACACCGGACTGTGGCGAAAAATATGCTACAGGTTCCATCACGTTGCACCTGGACATGAGAGATGTCATGGGCGGCTTTCCAGCCATGCCCCATGACCCCTTGGGCGTGCCCCGTGGCGTCCTAGCAAGCCTCCCAATGCCTAGCGCCACGGACGGCCCCGTGGTCTTGGCCGCGCCAAGTGACAAGCGCGCAGGTGCCTCTGTCGCCCCACCGATACCCCTCGCCAGCGCCAAGCCGCAGGCAGAAGCCAACAGCGCCGTGCGCGTAGACAACGCCGCGCGTGCAGACCGTGATGCCAAAGACACTGCTGCTGACAACGGACCTGCTGCTACCTTATAGAAAACTAAGTCATTTTCATTGTAAATATAGAGTAGTTTTATTTCATGTACTTCCATTATGTTTCTCTAGCTTAGTCAAGTCTAGTCTTGTAGCTTTGGATTATTTTTTTTAAGTATTATTAGGGGGGATCAAGCAATCAAAACTTTCTAGCAAGTAAGCAATTCTCTGTACTGGTGTCTCTCCCCCTCGACACCGTGTTGCTTTTCTGTAATAGCTTTCATTAATGCAATCAAGCTTTCTTTCATTCTGAATTCTCATTTCTGTTCTCTCAATTGCTCTTGACATTGGTTTTCCCGTACGACACTGACAATCTCGTCTAGCGTACGGAGGGGACCTCAGTTGGCGGACAGCAACTGCACTGACATCAGTTGCCTAGCCTTACGTCGCCCTTCCTAGGAATCTCAGGAAGGCGCCGCGTAACAGAGAGCATGAGCTAGGGTTCACACATCATGGACGGATGTGAGAAAAGTAAAATCAACCCCAACTTATTTGGAATTGAGACGTGCAGTCAAACTTCTATATAACAACCTTATTTGTTCAGACATTGTTTGACGAGAAGTGATGTTAACATAAAAATAGGTTCCCAAAAAAACTTGGCTTTTATAGTGAATGATTGCTAAAAAGGATGTTATTATAGAGAAAGTCTGATTGTAATTGTTATGAAGCAGCGGAATACACTATATTTTCAGCTGTATAGACTAATAAAGAGGCAAAATCAAATGGAAACAAAAAGAAATAGTTTTTTCATACGAGGCATCACTTCATTGAAACAAGAAACACAGACCAGAAATATTAACTCAAAAGATAATTGAGTCATTTGCTTGTCCTACTATGTACATGAAAGTGGTAGCAGATAGACTGACTAACTTTCAGAACAGTTGCAAAAGTTAATAGCAATACATTAGTGCTACTACTACTAGACTTCACTAAGTTACTTTCTTTTTTCGGTTAACTAAGCTCGAAATGCTCTGTGAAACTTCAGGCCCTGAAGAATCAATCCCCTGCTCTGCAAACCCTTTTAGATTAGCTAGTATCATGCTATCTACAACAGAAATATCGGTACTTTTGCTCACCTCATCATCTTGATTAGTAGTCAGCTCGGAGTTAACTAAACTTCCATCAAAAGTTATCAAATCCTCCAAAATGTTAGCTGCCACCGGTGATTTTGCTGATTCTTTGCTTTCAGAGTCGTCAAAACTTAAGAGAGGAGCCAGTTGTTTACGAGAAGTCTGGCATACTACTACTTTAGGACTAAACATTAGGCGCAGATGGGAGAAAGTAAGTAACACGAGCTTCCTTAAAAGTGAATAGATCTTTGAGTCAACAACTACGCTTCTGATGCCGAAGCAGAACATCAGAACTTGTCTCTCCAGACTGATTAGGAAGTGCTTCCATGTCATGTTGCACTGAAGACGACTGCCGTGTTCCTGTCTAGAAAGTTCCATTAGAGAATATGTGAGTATTTGTCATCACAGGAACTCAAAATCGACCACTATTGATACTTACATTTGGGATAACATAAGGACGAATGACCAAACCGAGAATCAAGCAGACTAAGCAGGGAAGCCCCACGGTTAAGAACCATGTAGAAACTGCTTTTAGAGCTGGAAAATGTTACAAATGTTAAAGTATCTTATTTCAGGTAAAAGGAAAAATTGGCATTCAAAAGCACAATGTAGAAAGTGAGGAACGTCTAAGATATGACACTACAAAAGGTTAATGGAACATTCACAGTCATGTTGTGCACTAACCAATCCACAAGCTTTTAGACTGCAGAAACTGATGAGCAATTCCAACCTCAAAATCACAATAAGGGGACAAACGCAATGGAAAAATGAGCAATGTATGCTTGGTTGAATGTATTACCAGAATGAGAATCTCTTGAGCAATCCTCGGCCTTGAGCTGTATTTCGCGGACTAACTTAGAGCCATGGTCAGAGATCATTAAAGTGCATCTCTCAGGAACAAAAGAAAGTTCAAAATCATCTGAGAATGATGCATTTAATCCAGGTCCATCAGCACGGCCTGGTATTAGTGAATAACCTCCTGCTATTGTAGTAACACCTGATATCATCATTGATTAAGGAGTTCCATTTAGAATCCAACGTGATGATAATAATAAAACAAATATTACTGAAGCAGCTTAACCTATAGTTACCGTGTAATATCACCACCATTTGACAGTTACGCAAGTAACAAGCAAAATAAAACACAATTGATCATCTTCCCCTTAATAGAAAAAGATTGTTGAAGAAGAGAAACACCAGAGAGTCATAGTAAGAAGTTGCTAAATAGGACCCTTAAAGGCATGCTTCATAAGCCATAGTGTACAGCATATCTTCAACCAACTTGAGAAGCATAAATTGGGGTTGATAACACATTACACCACTGAAAGCTAACATGGATTAAAATTATAGTCGACAACTATTAGCCACATGCCCAACTTCTTTGTCCAAACAGTTACATTTACCCAGCCGAGTTGCTGTCCTGGGAGGCATCATCTCTTGACGCTTGAAATCAGCAATTCCAAGTGTATGCCTAGAAAGCTGTGTTAGAAGGTGAAAAGCCTGCTTTCCAACCAGAAAGTTTGCATTTCCTCTTACTCATCCATGAAGTTTGTTGTTCCAATTCAGAAGCAGTGCTATTCTTGACCTTCAACAAACACGAACTAACACCATCTGACAGCCATACCAATTTCTAGAGACATACACAAAATGTTCTAATGCCTTTTTTATCAACATCATCTTTTTTCATAAGCCTAGCATATGGGTTCCCCTCAAGTCTCTCCACCTTATCATGTCACTTGTTACCCAAGATACAAAGATCCTATTTAGTATGACATAAAATGTTTCCTGGCAGAAATGTTGTCATTGATGAAATCACAGTCTTATGTTGGGTTGAAGAACTCATTGAAGATGTTATCACCATGGAAAAAAACTTACACTGACCAGGAATGGATAGCTTAGTCATCCAACCATAAGGTTGAGGGTTCGAGTCCATCAAGGGAGCAGAGGAAGAAAGAGTCCCAGCAATAGGCTCCTGGATATAGGGGCTTTAGTGGTGGAGTTTAACATATCCCACAAGAAATATCTCCAATCAAATGGGGAAAACAACTTAGAGCTTTAGGTCATTTTTCACTTGCCCCTCTAAGAGCCTATTTTGGATAGGTTTAAAAGCTGGTCAAACTTAGAGAGTTTTTAGCTTATTAGGGTGTTTGGCAACCTTATAGCTCATTTGGCTTAGCTGAATTAAAGTAGCTTTTAAGCATCAGGTGCTGAAAAATACTTTTTAAGTGATGGTATTGGTTCTATAAACAAGCAGTTATATGTTGGGATAGAAGTGCTGAAACTGAAAATACGTTATTGATGTGTTCGGTAAAATATCCATAAATTTGTTAATACTATAAAAGAGCTAATTACTACAAGATTTTTAACTCTAATACGAAATAATTTATGTTTCAACGCACATTCAGTTATAAGATAAAATTTTAACAAAAATGAGTTATTTATTTGAAATGGGTTGAATTAGAAAGGTACTTGTTCTTAAATTTCAGTAATATTTGATATTGCTATCGACTTGGATCTAAGTTGTCCCATGCATAGAAATAGCAAAGCAGTCATTTTTGAACCCAACATAGCTATTAGCTACCCAAATTGCAAAAAGATATTATTTCAGGAATCAGATAGTTTGTCTTTTTTGGGTATCACCTTAAATATAATAATTGAGTTTTCTAGTACATTTTATTTAGTTTTAAAATATATAAGTTACCTTCCTGAGATTCCTTGGAAGGGCGACGTAAGGCTAGGCAACTGATGTCAGTGCAATTGCTGTCCGCCAACTGAGGTCCCCTCCGTACGCTAGACGAGATTGTCAGTGCCGTACGGGAAAACCAATGTCAAGAGCAATTGAGAGAACAGAAATGAGAATTCAGAATGAAAGAAAGCTTGATTGCATTAATCAAAAGCTATTACAGAAAAGCAACGCGGTGTCGAGGGGGAGAGACACCAGTACAGAGAATTGCTTGCTTGCTAGAAAGTTTTGATTGCTTGATCCCCCCTAATAATACTTAAAAAAAATAATCCAAAGCTACAAGACTAGACTTGACTAAGCTAGAGAAACATAATGGAAGTACATGAAATAAAACTACTCTATATTTACAATGAAAATGACTTAGTTTTCTATAAGGCAGCAGCAGGTCCGTTGTCAGCAGCAGTGTCTTTGGCATCACGGTCTGCGCGCACGGCGCTGTTGGCTTCTGCCTGCGGCTTGGCACTGGCGAGGGATATCGGTGGAGCGACAGAGGCACCTGCGCGCTTGTCACTTGGCGCGACCAAGACCACGGGGCCGTCCGTGGCGCTAGGCATTGGGAGGCTTGCTAGGACACCACGGGGCGCGCCCAAGGGGTCATGGGGCATGGCTGGAAAGCCGCCCATGACATTCTCCCCCACCTGAGTTGGCGACGTCCTCGACGCCTTACTTGAAAAATAATCTTCAATGAGGCTCTTGTAGGCTTTGAGGTTTGTTCCCCTCTCCCAAGTATTCTCTTCTGCATCACAGCCCTGCCATTTCACTAAAAACTCTCGGTGATCTTTCCTTGAGGCATGAATCACTTTGTCATCAAGGATAGCTTCAACACGCCTTTTCCCGGTTGAATTGGGACCTCGAATACTAGGTATTGTGAGCTGGCTCCTTGAAGGATCCTCCGTGTCTTCCCGAAAAGGTTTCAGGAGACTGACATGGAAGACAGGATGAATTTTCCACCAAGCTGGGGTATCCACCCGGTATGCAACCTTCCCAATGCGCCTTTCAATGGACAAGGGTCCAATGTATTTTTGCAATAGGCGAGGGTCATGGACCCCTGCAAATAAGTACCGCTTTGGAATTTTGACCATCACTTTGTCTCCTACTTGATATTCAACAAAGCGACGATTCTGATCAGCATGCCTCTTCATCCGCTTTTGGGCTTTGATAAGGTAGCTCCGCACTATCTCCAAATTCCGCCTCCACTCTTTTGAGAAGCTGGCAGCTCGAGGAGATTTAGCCATGTTTGGTGCATTCACAGTGTGTGGGAGTAGCGGTTGCTGTCCGGTAACAATTTCAAAAGCGCTTTTGTTGGTAATAGAGCTCTTTTGTGAATTGAAACACAGTTGAGCAGCATCCAGAAGCTTCACCCAATTCTTCTGCGATCCGGTTACAAAGTGGCGGAGATATTCCTCCAACATACCATTGAACCGCTCCGTCTGGCCATCAGATTGCGGATGAAAACTTGAGCTGTGACTCAATTTTGACCCAAGGCACTTGAAGAGTTGGGTCCAAAAGTTGCTAGTGAAGCGTGAGTCGCGGTCACTAACAATGTCTTTGGGCAGGCCCCAATATTTGACGACATGAGAGAAGAAGAGTCGAGCTGTATCTTCTGCTGATATATATTGTGGGGCTGCAATAAAGGTGGCATACTTGGAAAACCGGTCCACCACAACCAAGATGGTTGTGAGATCTCCGACCTTGGGCAATCCGGTGATGAAATCCAGGGAAACGCTTTCCCAAGGTCTCTTTGGTACAGCGAGTGGTTCCATGAGTCCCGCTTGTGTCAAGCGGTCCGACTTGTCCTTCTGGCATACTAGACAAGTCTTCACATACTGAGCGACATCATCGGCCATTTGAGGCCAATAATAGGCACGACGAAGTAACGCCATGGTGCGTTCTTCACCGGGATGGCCGGCCCACAGAGTATCATGACATTCCGCTAGAAGAGTCCTCCGCAAATCTCCTCCTTTAGGAACATAAAGTCGGTTCCCTTTTACTTTCAGAAAACCATCTTCCATGTAGAACTGGCGAGTCTTGCCCTGTCCTACCAAATCAACCAAATACTGAGCAGCAGGATCCTTGATGAGTAGATCCCATATTTGGTCCTTGATGGATGTGGCTACTTCGCTCCCCCTTAGGGTGGCGAGTAGGCACACCGATGCTAGATCAGCTCTCCGACTGAGCGCATCAGCAACATGATTGGTCTTTCCACTGCGATACTCCAAGTT